TTCTTTCACAACCCCAATATGCAGCTGTATGTTCTCCACCACAGTTACGGCATTTAATTAGAACTTCTTTACCACACCTTTCCATATACGTGCAACACACCTTCCACGTCATTGTTTTCCCTATATGACCACATTTTTGGCATTTGAAGCATCTCATATGTGGAGGATTGTACATTTTCACCTTTGTAGCTCCTATATCCAAGGAAAACCTTACTTGCTGTCTCCTGTTCTTCAAATTTGATCAATACTGTTATACTGTGTATAACCCTTTATAGTGCACTGAGTGAAATACTTTGAAAATCAAAATTTCCAGCCAATAGTGTTATTAGAATCCAGGACCAGACCTTATTACCTTTGTTACATTCAAAAAATACGGATATTTTGATGACAAAAATGAATGTCAATGTTATAACAGGAAACGCATACTTGCCCCAATATATTAAGAAAAATAACAAAAGTTCTTCTATAAGAAATTCATGAAAAACACCCTGAGAGTGAAAGGAACACATTTTTTTTTGGGGGGTCCAACATAACCTTAGAGGTATTAATGCTGATACTGGCACTTACATTTTTTTAGTTTATAAACCTAAATATAATGGCTAACTTGGCTTATTAATTTTTTTAACTTTACTTTTTAACTTTTCAATTAGCCTTTTACCTTTTTTTTTTTCTTGAATTGTTATCTTTTGGTTTTTAACTTAATTTCCAGTAAGTAATATATCATTCAAGGGCTCATCTAATTGGTCAAATGCCAAGATAAGATGTACAGCCATGTAGCAGTAACTTTGCTGAATGGTTGGATATAGATCTAGTGCTTCTAGAACTCACTGAGGGACCACTTATATTTTCTAGAATCTCTTGGTCAGTTAGTGTTAGAGTAACTCATCCAATGACTCCCCTGCTAATCCTTTTTTTCTCCACCAAGCTGCACTGAAAACTTTTCCCCTCAGTCTTGTTCATCCATATAGCTTTGCCTTGTTGAGTCTCCACTATACAATATTTTGGCACCTTTGACTTCTAAAAGTTTGATTATTGTTTTCGATAACTGCACCAGATTCCAATCTGTAAAGATCCTTCCTGATTAACTAGTTTAGGACTTTGTAATAAATTTTTTTTCTGTGGAATTTCTAGATTGTTCCTCACTTGATATTGTTCAGCTTTTCCTGCTATTTGTAATTTTTTGACTGTACTCTCTTCCAATCTTCTTCGTTTTCACTATTTTCTTCTTCCATTCAACAAGAATCAATTCCTGTTTCCTCACAACTCAGGATCCAGGACATTTCTCAAAGCCACCTAGAAACACGCGTCCTGTCACTCCTCTCAACATTTTAGGTCTGAAGTTAAAGAATTTATACTGAAAGAGCACTTACACTTTTTCAACTCAGAGATGGTCGCCATTGTAACGAATGTAAACAAAATTCTTCTTCTTCCTGTAGGGTTTTATGGCGGTTGGCAAACTAGTTAAGTGCATTAGCGCCGCCAGCTGGTAAGAAGTTAAACGAGGAAACGGGAAATAAGACACCCCCCCCCCCCCCCCTCGACAAAAAATAAATAAATAAAATTAAATAAAAATAATATATATATATTTGATGATCCTCTGTTTGAACCCATTCCATCCCTACTAAACAAGGTAATAACTTATTTATATTTTTACATTTGCACACCTAGAAATCTTATAGTTTTAAACTGTTCGAGATTTTTGTTTGTTTATATAGTTTTGATAAAATAGTTTTTTTTTTGTGAAAAAAGGATAATCTGAGACTTTGCTATTGACATTTTAAAACCCCATCTATTGGATTGCTTCAGCTTTTGCCTATTGCATTTTATACTTACAAAATACTAGGTTAAAACTTGGAATGCATACAGCTCTTTCATCTGCATTTAAAGATTGACCAATTCCTGAATCTACTTTATCAAATGTATCATCATAAATAATATTAATAATCATATTAATATTTATTCTTATCTCTTTATTGTTGGAAAACATTTTCTTCAATGTTCTCTTTTTGCTGTCCTAATTGTTTTCTTAAAATTCATTTTAATTATGTATTGTGTGCTAAATTTCAACTTGTTTAAATGCTTTATTGCTTTCTTTAAAAGCTTTCTCACAGCTTTCATTCCCTTATGGCACTTTTTTCTTTTAAATGATTTGGGATACTTCTTGCAGCCCCAGCATAGGTGATCCGTTGTTCAGTTTTTTCCTTCTGAGTTTACTCTGCTTGTTACTTTGACAAACAGTAATGTATTTACTTCCTTAGTAAAAACTAATTTTATCAGCACTCACATCAACAGCTCTCATCATTTTTTTTCAAACGCCCTATTTTCCTTTATAATGGTTCTATTTACATTTTCTTTTATTTCTCTAGTGGTTATTTTAAAGACTCCACTTATTATAAGCAACCTCATGAATAGCCGTTCGCTTTATAATTGTCTGCCATCTAGTGGCCAAATATTGTATCTGCAATTATGGTTGAAAAATGACAACACATTTTTACTTCAATACGCTAACATATGAATGCTCGAATCTTAAAGAACCAAAAGAAAAGAAAAAAATGAACTTATAAAAATAGTTAAGCCTAAATCTATGTTAATTTTGAGTTACTTTAGACTTTGAGCTTTTCCTCCTGCCCTTTGGCTCTAAAGAGGGATGTTACACACTGTGTACTGTATCCTAAAACAAGCAGCAACAAAGTAAACTATAGTAAATTATAGCTTGATCATTCAACACACTTTAAAGCTATAATTACAAAAAGGAAAAACAAATCCATTCTTTCTTAGAGACTTAGAGTCCCTACAGTTTTAACTTTAAGATTTATTTAATGTATTTTGATTATCTCTTTATTGGTGTTTTCTTATCTCTTCATAGTAATTCACCATTATTTATTAAATATGTGTCTCATATTGGTCATTGTGTCTGGCCATTAAAGAGAGGCTGCAATTCTCTTTTATTGCACACCATTCGTTTATCATATTTTTATGCTTTAAATCCTGATGAAACACCTGGAAAAAGCTGAATGATTCTTAAATATCTGCCTCTGAATGCAAACAAAGCCAATCTCATTGTCTTTGGACCAAAGTCTTTGAAAAAGAAGCTGTCACTTCATCTGGATGAAGATTAATCAGTGACAGCTTGCTCTGACATCAATCCTGAGATCTGGAATTGAAAATTCAAACATTGAAAATTCAAACCCTGAAGATTCCCCAAATCCCTCTAAAAAGGTAAAATCTGATGATACTGACACCCTCAGCTTCAATATCTTTTCAATTAGAGATTATTTCAGCATCACTACGGGGTTCCTGTACCTACTGAAGGCCCCTTCAGAGTCCTTCAGTTTTTCCGGTACTCCTTATTATCAGCTTGTAGGGACATCATAGCTGCAGGAACTTTGCAGTGACACTGAATAAATAAAATGCCTCATCTGAAAATAACTGTTTCATCACCAGTGTTTCCTTTTTTAAATGGAATTTTGAAATTTCAGTGTTTGACTTTTGCATACTGAAGCGCGTTGATGTGTGAGAATGACCCAGTCAAAGGTGACACATATATAAATCAGTTATTATCATATAAGCAGTGGTGAGCGGTCAGGGCCTACACCCTGACCGCTCACCACTGCTTATATCAATCAGAAATACTAACCTACATTCACGACCTAAACTTTAATTTTCTTATATTACAATGCATGCTACTCATCTATTTCAAACAATCCATTCTCTTAATTTTTCTTGGCTGTGCTGCTTCTATTACATTTATGTGGTCGCTATATTTTTTGTCCAATCAGATTTCTGCCTTAGTGTGTTGCTATGTCAGTCAAATCTGCCCAAGGCCTTCAGAATCAGCAGTGCTATATCCGTTGGTTGTGCTGTACTTTTTACATCTCTTTGCAGGTGATGAAGCAGACAGAACGCCTTTTATTGTTGTCTCCCTTTTATCTCCTCTTTCTTTCATCTTTTCTTCTTTTTCCAGTTTTTCTGTTCTACTTACATTGCAGCGTCAATATAATCTGTGATACTCTCTGCATGAATTATAATAAAGCTTTTTACATGCATAAATCAAGCGGAACACTATGGCAATAGAAGTACTGCTTCACTTGTAAAAGCAAAATCGGTTGGGCTCTCTTTTGGCATCAAGACAATAATTCTTAAACCACAATGCCAGACAGGACACTGAAAAAAAGCAGTGCTGGCTGATGTTACCTTAATAATAGTGAAGAAAGTTTTCTTCAAGCAATCAGATATCAGATTTGCCCCATAGGACCAGCTACTGAGGCAGCCTGAACATCAGCATTTTCTGTCCTCTGAATGGTCAGTTAGAGCAAAATGTTAATGACTGATATTAAATGGAGATACTAAGACTTCCCACACACAGAGGGATGGAATTAGATTATAAATAATCAGCATCTCTTGTGAGTGTGATATATTTTATCTTCATGCTTTATACAATATATTATCTATTAGATGCATTTTGAATCTAAACAGCTATTGGTGATGCAAATATGGTGGAGCTGTGGTTATAGAGGAGAGGATTACCGTTTCCCTTACTGGGCTTTTTGCCTAATTGATCTCTGTATTCACCCTCACACTAATCTTGCTCTCAGTTATATGTGCACTTGCTAAATTTAATATTTGATGGTTTCCTTCATTAAAATATGAAAGTGGTGATATTAACCCCTGAACATCGATCGTTGCAAATATACCACAAACAATTTGTATTCCAAAGATAGCAAAGATAGCATTCCCCTTAAAATGTGTTGTACATTTTATACTCAAATATATACATACATTTGGACCTCAGGGGATTTGCAGGTACTGAAGGCCTAGGTACCATATGCACCACCCACCACTGCATATAAGTCATTATCATATAAATATTTAATAGTTTACTGATGTAACATGTTAAAGTGGGGAAAAATCAGATGGCAATGAATAATTTTTTAAAGCGCTGTAAGTTAGTTCACTTATCAAAAAACAAGAATAAAAAAAAAAACTGAGTCAGACATAACCACAGATTCAAATAAAATTTATTATCCAGCATTATATAGAACAAGACAGTACTTAAAAGGTCAGTGAAAATAAACAAGCCTCTTATAAAAAGTATAAATATAATATATTCCTCAGAATTTTAAGGACACTTTAAACATTTTTGACCAACAACATAAATAAACACTGGGCTTCTCTTTAAACACATTGTCTAAACCAGTAAGACAAAAACAGTAAATACTTCTTCTCTTTGGAAAGTTCATGGGGTTCTTTCCTTGAATCAAGACTTGAGTGGACTATTTACAGTCTGTAATGTCAGCACCTTAAGAGGTGTTTTTCTTCTCCCTCTTTGTGTATGGTGTGGCTTAAGCAGAGCGAGGATCCAATAGAGATGTATCACCATTGTTTTAGAGAGGCATTCTCTTCATGCATGGTGGTTTTCACTGTTGGTTTCAGGTTAAACCTAACCGACAGGGTCGCTCTTGCCTTTTTTATGTGTTTACTTTGTCTAAAATAAACCAACAGCCACAACATAGTTGGACCACTGTTAATGCTTCGGTCTACTTCACTGTTTTTTTTCCTCCGTCGTACTGACATATGAAAATAGAAATGGCCTTAAGTTTTACATTTTGAAGGCTGTGAAAACCTCACTGCCATCACATTTGCCAGCATGAACCCTGCAAAGGTTAGTGTGTCAAAATATTTCCTGACCCAATTTATGGGAGGAGAAGACACAAATGTAGACTTCTGTCAGTTTGCAAGTACAAAAGTGCCTCTTTTTTAGTATAAAAGGCTAAAATGTGAGTAAACATCAATGTCTATGCCTGAGAAAATGTCAACAAACATCTTGTGCTTTATAGACACACAAAAAAACAACACACATAACACATCTCCTATCCCTAAAGAGAATAAAAATTAATCATAAAGATTTGTGGAACTCTTCAAGCCTTTGTCTTCTGAACCTTCACTGCTCTATGTACATTATTCTTTAAGCTTTAAGACCCAACAATCATTTATAGCATTGATTTAATATTACTCCTCTGAGATTAACAACTGTCTTGTTCTGAAAAAAAGACAGAGTGCCTTTGTGTTTGCTACAAGGACTGTGTCAGCAGCTGCTCATGAGATTCATTGACAATGCCCTTGTTGTAATAGTTTGGAGTTGCCACAAAGTTTTAAAGGGCCCAATTTAATATTTTCCATACGGTTGCACAGAAAAATTCCCACATTTGTGCATGGAAGCTATCAGTTCATTTGTACAGAGAGACCTAAACCAGCCCAGCTTCCAAGCACATTCTGTAAAACTGGCCCCGCTTTGAGATAAGGTTGGCTGGAGAGTCCATCTCAGAAATGTGGCCTCTATCCATAACGATCACTCTGCAAAACAGCAAAAACATAGAAATGCAGATTTAGTTTAGGTCTTTCCATTTACAAGTCCTAAGAGCTGGTGCTGGATTTCCACTGAGATGGTAATATGTGTATATATATTAGTGTTGCAACAATATAGATACCAGTATCGGGCGGGGCACTGATTCAGCTCTAAAATGGTGGTATCGGTATCGGCGAGTACCAACAAATAGGGCACCGACACCATTTTGAGAGCCAAAAGTTTACTAACTATTGTCGCCCATTCCAGGTAGGCAATAAAACGTTCTACTGGATTCACTTTGTATTAGTATTTTTTCCTGCTTCACAAAAGGTAGGCAATAGCTTGACAAAGCCATGATGGCAATTACTTTACATCCAAGTAGTATGCAGTTCTTCATATATACAAAGACACATCAATTTCAAACAGATGGTATCGGTATGGTATTGGTATCGGCCAATACTGCAAAGCCAGTTATCGGTATCAGGGCCAAACACTGGTATTGGTGCAACACTAATGTATTTAATAATTCATCCATAAGGCACTTTGGCCAATTATTTCGATATGTACATAACAGCCAGAGGATTTTTCTTTCAATGTAAGGACAATTTACATGGCCTACAAACCTCTCTACCCCAAGTGCCCCAAGATGTTAGATAGTTAGAGAGTCAAGATAACTTCTGCTCAGGATATGAATTTACTTCAACCTTTTACTATGTTTAAGATATGGTCATTAGATGTAAGAGAAAAATAATCATTCATAAATTTAATTGGATTAAAGCCTTTGACTTATCAACCATTTAGGAGTCACACATTGACTCTGACTATAGCACCACCAATATGGATGCAGGTAATAATTAGGTAATGAGGTATTAGATGGTTTTACCATGTTTTTGAAAGATTTATTGATTTTGAGAGGTTTAGGGTGGAATCCATTAAAACTGATCAAAGGTCTGAGAGCCCCAAGCAATTCAGCTCACAGTCCCTTCATGGATAGAAAACCTATTGAGTACTAGATTGAACCTTTTATTGTAAATCAATTAGTTTTCACTGACTCTATGAGGAATACTGATGTAGCGTACCTTGTGTAGTCCATGATAGTGTTAAGTCGATGAGCAATAGTGAGCACGGTGCAGTGCTCAAACTGTGTGCGGATTGTCGACTGAATGAGAGTGTCCGTTTCCAGGTCCACAGCAGCTGTAGCTTCATCCAAAACCAGGATCTTGGTTTTCCGCAACAAAGCTCTGGCCAAGCAGACTAGCTGGCGCTGACCCAAACTGCACACAAAAAGTTGAGAGGTACAATTATGTTTAAAATGTCTTTATAAGAGTTCTTACATGATTCACAAGAAAAACAAAGGACTAGCATGTGGAAATGTGTACCTGAGGTTTTCCCCTCCCTCTGAGCATTCATAGTTGAGTTTGTCAGGCAGATTTGACACAAATGTTTTGAGGTGTGCAAGCTCCAGGGAGCTCCATATTTCCTCATCTGTGTAAGTGTCAAAGGGGTCCAGGTTCATCCTGAGGGAGCCCGAGAACAGCACAGGATCCTGTAAAGGGGAACAGAAGAAATTACAGTTGGAAACTGTTAATATGGCCCTAAAGATAGATGTGTGACTGTGGCAGTTCACATGAAAAAAGGCAGAACTGTCTCCAACTTTTCTACTGCACCTGAGGAATAATTGTTATGCGGGATCTGAGGTCGTGGAGTCCAATGTCTGCAATATTCACTCCATCAATAAAGATTTTTCCCTTTGCAGCCTCCAGGATCCGGAAGATTCCCAGTGCAAGTGAGGACTTACCAGCTCCTGTTCTACCCACAATTCCAACCTAATAAACAGAGAGATTTCTGATATTAAACAGGAACATTTTGCAATCCAAGTGTTAAAGGTAAGAGATAAATTACCTTCTCTCTTTGGTTGATATGCAGTGTAATGTCTTTAAGAGCAAGCTCAAGGCCTTTCCTGTACTGCAGCCCATAATCCTGGAACTCCATGGTGCCACTCTGGGGCCAAGCTGTTGGCAGAGGGCTGCCCTCTGTACTCCAGCTGGCCTGCACCAAGAGTAGGAAACAGTGAGTCAAGAACAGAAATAATCAATGTGGGGCTTTGCTGATTGTATGCATACAGTAGGAGCACTGACCTCCTTGGGTGTTTCGGCATATTCGTTGACTCTCTCCACAGAAACAATGTTATTTTCCACATCAGTCCAAGACCGTACGATCCAGCTGAGAATTCCAGTCACCTGCAACACAATATGGTGAGGAAATCGGTAGGTTTTTTTTAATATTTGCATAAAAAGGACTTATTTTTGTTGTATGTTTGATGTGCAGATGGGCAGTACTGTATGAATGTTAGCTAGCTAAACATGAAAATTCTTCTTAGGTCTTTAGATTTTGCTTCCAAAGATAATTTTAATATTCCAGATTTTTTTAAATTCCTGTTAAGGTTTGCGGTTTCCTTATTAGGGATTGATTGATTAGCAGGTGTAGAAGTGGTCATTAAAGATGTCTTAGAAATATTTCCCAGTAGCATATGGGTGTGGTGTCATAATATCTTACCTGGAGAGAATGTGACACTGCTAGACCAACAATGCCTGGACTCAGGGTGCTTCTCCCCATCACTGAAAGAATGGCAGCAGCTAGGACCACAACGTTACCGACAAACTCCAGATTGACCGCCAACCACCTATAAACGTCACAGTCATTTAGCACTGGGGCGGGAAGGTTTAGGTACTTTCCAATGTTACAGAAGGTAATATGATATTAAAAACTCTTTGTATTTCCATCAACAGTATATTAATTTCACATAAAATGCAGGAATCTTCCTTCCCTAGAAACTTTTAACCCAACAAACACATCCTATTAAAAAAGATCATCTTTCTGCTCACCGTGTGGCAACAAAGCGGGGAAAATAGGAGGTTTGATTGAAGTCGACCTTTTCGTTAGCCTGCATAATGAACCTGGGCTGCTCTCCGAAAGCTCGGATCACGCTGGCACCCTGCACCGTCTCATTGAAGTGGGTGTAGATGGGTGAGCGGCTAACAGCTTCCAGTCGCCGCAGCTGACAGGATGTGGCAACATAGAAGCTCTGTGGGCAAGAGAGTGGAAAAGTAAAACGGCAGCTTTAACAGGCGCTACAACAGGGAGCACAGAGGGCTTTCCCATAATTCTAAATGAATGTGGGTTAATTTACGTCAGTGGAGTTGATTTTGGAGCCCAAAGCATTCCAAAAACATATGGTAAAAAAAAAATTCAAGATTTTGCTTATATCAGCATATTCGAGGGATTTTTTGTAGCACGTACCTGGACAAAGGCGTAAAGGAAAGCAAGAGGCAAGATGATCACAGCTGCAAAAGGTGTTGCCATGAGCACAATGATGCAGACTTCCAGAAGTTTAAAGACATAGCTCAGCATCATTTTCAACCCTTCAGGGACCATGCAGTCAATGGCATCGATCTCTTTAGCAAAGCGGTTCAGGAGGTTTCCGCTGGGCGTGGACTCGAAAAATGACATTGGAGAATGAAGAACATTGACCAGCAGGTCCATGTGCAGCTGCCGGGAAGCAATGATGCCACAGATGGAGATGGCAACAGTTGTACCAAAGATGGCAACTCCTAGAATATTGTGAAATATGTGTGATCAAAACTATAGAAATGTGCAGCTTGAATTTTTGTCAAATCACAGAATCAACTCACTGACCTTGTACAAATCCAAGAGCTCCAAAAACAGACAGTTTGAGATCGGTATTAATCTGTGTGCCGTTAATAACCGGATCATCAGCCCACATACTGAGCCAGTAGTTGTAGGCCAGAGAGGCTCCTTGCTGGAAGCCGTAAAGGAAGACGATGAGAATTATGATAGCCAAACCAATGGTCTTGAAGTACTTTTTGTACAACTCCAACTTCACCTGCAATAGAGAAAGATAAAGACAAACATGAGTAAGGCCAGGTCATACTAATCTTTCTTGTATAAGTCACCCCAATGATAAAGAGATGAAAATGTACCATAATGTTAACATTGTGCAAGGAACTGAAAATCTTTGCTTCTAAGGAATATTAATTCCCCAGGCCGTATTTTGACTTACTCGTCCAGTGTGAGCTTTGTCCACCTGAGTTAATTTCCCTAAGTCCTCAGGGATCTGATCCTGGTCAGTTTCAGAAACAGGCTCCATATTTTGCAAGTTGGTATTAGTGCTATCACCTCTGGGTGGTAAGGAAAGGTCAGAGGTCAGTTTCAGTAGGAAAATTCCCAGGATTTTGGTGCACTTCTGCTTAGTTTTTGCTTACCCAATGAGCTGCTCCTGCGAGAGGTCTCTGGAAAAAGGCATGAAGTCGACCATGCTGAGTCGTGCATTGGATCTTCTAGAACCAGCTGCAATAGAGAACTTGTAATTAAAGAATGTTTACATGACCTTATTTAAAAAAAAAAAGAAAAAACAAAAAGAAAATTATAGCTCCTCATAGATTTTATCTTCACCTCTCTGTATGACACTCTCTTTTCGTTCTGTGCTCGCAAAAGTGTGAATGAAGTCTGCAAAAGCACCGTGACGACTGAGTAGCTCCTGGTATGAACCGCTTTCTGTGATTTCACCATCTACCAGAACAAGGATGAGGTCAGCTTGAGGGAGGAAGCTCATCCCATGGGTCACAAGTATGCGGGTCTGTTAAGTAAACCACAGCAGGGGAAAAAAAGATGTAAGTCTTTATCCAACCTAAAAAAAAATAAGACCTAGCAAAGTAGTGGTTTCCATTTTGTGGCAACAATAGCATACAATTGTTTGTGATTTAGGTTCAAAACTTTGCTTGGCTCTTTGTAGACATTTGGTGTTACCTTGTCTCTAAGGACTCCTTTTGGCCCAATGACTTTATCAAAGATATGTTGACCCACGTGCGCATCAACAGCAGAAAGTGGATCATCCATCAAATATACGTCTGCCTTTCTGTAGACAGCTCTGGCAAGGCTCACCCTCTGCTTTTGCCCCCCCGAAAGGTTAAGCCCCTGCATAAAAAACAAAACAAACATATATTAATATTCTGAAATGAGCCTGTGTGATAAAGTTTCACAATGTTAGAAATCTAAAATATTACCTGTCTAAGTAATCTGTCTTTTAAAGTGCTATCTGGTGCCTGAAAACAGGTGTCTTTTACTGGAAGCTGCAAGTTAGTTTTATCATTAGTGCCAAAAATTATGGCGAGTCCTTTAAGCCTAACACCCTTGTATTCAGTGTAATATTTAGACCTCGTTAGAAAGAAAACAGTTTTAAAGATGCCATGTTGTGTGAATGGGATATCTTTCAAATTCAATTTAATTCAGTTTATTTATTTAGCTCAATTTCACAGCACTACATATACAAGGTACAATTAATTCAAAAAGACAACACAAAGTAACCAATTAAAGGGGGTGGCTGAAAAATACAAAAGCATTTAAAAGTATTGTGGAGGATGTTATTTTTTCAGGTGAATCATCAGAATAAGTGGTCCTCCTAATTGTCAATCCTCTGGTGATATGTTTACGTGAGGCCATCCTACGGGCTGGTCCCTATTTTGCACTTATGATATAGTGGAAAAATTGCAAATCTTCTTTTGGAAAGTAAGCTTTATGAGCGATGCAAACTTTTAAACAGTGTGCACGAGGAGAAATGGGCTTGTGCACGCTCTCACACACATTTAATAGGCATTCCCTCTCAGCAGCAGGGTTGTGCATGTGCATTTTTTTTATAACGTGGAAAGGGCGTGTCTTTTTTTTAAAGTTCACAAAAATCCTCCACTATAACTTTAAAAAGTGTGGGTAATTGTTTGAAATAACAAAGGATAAGAGAACGTGGGAGCAGATTAGATGATTTATACTGAGCCACCACTGATATTAAAGTTAGACTCTGCTTTGATGCTTAACTAAAAAGTGTCTATGAAGTGTATCAGAAGAAAAGAAAGGCCTCAGAAAAGGCAGATATATCCCAGAATTATTTGTGCGCAGAGCTCTCCTTGCAAAACACTAAGGGATTTGCTGTCACAGTGGCACGCTATCGTTATCGGCTGTTGCTACCCGACAGTGGCGACTAATAACAAAAATGGTGTATGCACCGCGCACTGAAGAAAGACTTACGTGACCAACGGGGAGCAAAAACTACTGATTATCTGTCTGAATGGTAAGTTAACTGAGTTTGCTATAAAGTCCACTATGTAGTCCCTGCTGTATACAGTGATTGAGGGATTTAAGGGTTAGAGCGGACGTTCGGACACAGTAAGCTTGTATGAGCAATTAAAACAGAATCTTTTACAAAGAGCATGCACAAGGGGAAAATGGCTTTGTGCATGCTCTCACACGCGTTTTATAGGGTATATATCCGTTTTAAAGTGGAGAGGGCGGGTCTTTTAAAAAATTCCAAAAATCCTACATAATACCTGTTTAATAACTGTTTAAATGTTTTGTTTTTGACAAAAACTAATACTGAATACTGAATCTTATGTTCTAGTAATCCCAATATAATTTATCAAATAATTTGTACCAACAATTCTATACATCCTTCTTTATATATTTCATACCTTTTCTCCAATTTCTGTTGCATCTCCAGCTGGTAAGATGTCTAGGTCAGGTAGAAGGGCACAGGCCTCCAGCACACGTTGGTACCATGTTTTTAACTTCTCGCAACCGAATAATATATTGTCCTGGACTGTGGCGTTCTGGATCCAGGCCTGCTGTGGCACATATGCTAATGTGCCCTGCAGGAAAAAAAGAAAAAGAAAAGCAGAATCTGTTAATATTTGTTAAAACCACAGGCTATGAATAGATTTTTCTCCCAAGGAACATTAGCTGTGTACCTTAACAGTGACTTGGCCGCTTCTTTTCTCTGTTTCACCAAGCATGGCAGACAACAAAGAGGACTTTCCACTGCCCACATGTCCAACCACAGCAACAAGGGAGCCTCGTGGCACACAAACATTTATTCTGCCAATAAAAGGGGGATTTCTCTTAGACTCCAATGATTTTACCGCAAGGATTTTATTTTCATTCCTTTATACTTACCGTTTGAGGCATGGTGGACCCTCGGGAGTCCAGCTGAATGAGCCATTCTCTATTTTCACATCTTCACCCTCTATACAAGGAAACAGAATTGACTGAAATTAACAAACAAATGGAATAAAAGGGGCATGTTCTTTTAAACTCTGCAACTAATGTTTTAAAAAAAGCAGCTACCCCTTGAAATCTCTCATCAGAGTGCTGTCTGGGCGTAATTACAAGTGGATTCTCCTAATCAGGCAAATTACAGAGAACCTTTGCCTTTCACAAGCTGTCTCAGGAAGTGTTGACAGATCTTAGACAGAGAAGTACAGTATTTGTCCTTTTTTATTCCTCTATGAATCATATGTCTGAATTTACGCTATGATTTAAGTGTAACCACTAAATGGGAACATCCTATAATTAACCCGTCTCCCAGCAGCCCAGGACCCAGGAAGTGACAGTGCATATCCTCCTGACTACCAGTAGTTCAAATTTGTCCTCTGCAGAGGACATTTGTAAACTTGAATATCTCCCACCCACTGCATACTACTGAATTAATTCCTTTTGGTATCTACAGAGGACATTTAGGGCTTTTCAATGATACCAAATGTGAGGGGGTGGGGCTTTTATACCTTTCTTTACCTCATTCTGAAAATGGCAGCCATCACTACAAGCAGGTTTTATGGGAAGAGAAAAAGTAAGTGCCTAATACTTTTTATTGTGCAAATTTGGGTTTAAAATTTTGTTGGCATATTCTAAATAAGTCTCTTAGCAACACATTGAAACATTTTTTTAAAGTATTTTCACTGTATTTTATAGCAGAATTTAAAAGTTGAAAAATTGTCCTCTACAGTGGACATTTGTATTTACTTCCTCTGTTTTGTTCTGTTTTTTTCTGTTGATTTTTTAAATGACAAGAACGGGAGTCGTTCTCAGATGCAGAGAGAATTTTACTATGGATTATTGATGGAGACTCAAATATAGAGTTGTCTGATAAAGAAAGTGAAGATGCATTGTTTCAGGTAGAAGAAGAGGAAGTTCATTCAGAGAGCTCAGAAACAGGGAAATTGTGCATTGATGAAAAATTGGTTCCATTTACTGGTCGATGCCCAGTGCGCCAGTACATACCCGGCAAACCACATCCAACTGGATTGAAGGTGTTTGTCTTGGCTGCACCAACTGGTCTGGTCTTGGACTTTGTAGTCTACCAAGGTAAGACTACCTTCCAAGTTACGGGAGTAAATGGCATTGGAGAACAAGCTGTTCTTCATTTGGCAGAGTTTGTTCCTTGAGGAACTCACCTGTTCTTTGATAGATTCTTTACAACAATCAATCTCCTTGATACCCTCACGACAAAAGGGTTAACAGGAACTGGAACACTCATGAGTAACAGGGTTTCAAAGGATTGTAAGATCATAGAGGATAAGAGCTTAAAAAATAAGGGAAGAGGTGAATCAGAGATGGTTGTCAGACGAAACCCTCCTGAAGTTGTCGTCATAAAATGGTTGGACAACAAGCCAGTTGTCATGGCATCCTCTGCCTATGGCATTGAACCTCAGGACACACGCAGAAGATGGTCCAAGAAAGACAAGATTTGTCCAGGTGTCAAGGCCACTGGCAATTGCTGAGTACAACACCAACACGGGTGGCGTGGATTTGGTTGACCGAATGTTGAGTTTCTACAGAATGGCTTCTCGCACTTGGAAATGGACAGTGCGTCCACTTTTTTTACCTGGCAATCACCAACTCATGGCTTCAGTATAAGAGTGACTGCCAGTTTTTGGGGAAAAAGGAGCAGTTTGAAGTTGTTCAACTTCAAACTGCTCCTTGGTGAGGAGTTGATTACTCAGGCCCAAGCAGGAATCGGAAGTGACAGTTAAGATGACTTCACTCCTCCACGTCAAAAGTGGAAACCACAGACAAATGCAGCCCTGAGACACTACGGTGCCATCCATCTTCCAGAGATGGTGAACGAAACACATGCGTCAAGGTGTCAAAGATCAGGCTGCACAAGCAAAACATATGTGATGTGCACAAAGTGCAATGTGTTCCTTTGCGTTTCCAAGAAGGGGAATTGCTTTTTGAAGTATCATAGCAATTAAGCACATAAAAGAAAAACAACTGTGATGATGGACAGTGTTGTCAATGAAAAATTTATTCTTATGTTGATGTTTGGTTATTTTCTTTGGGACTAACTGGTTGCCATCAAGGTTCAATTTCGAATGTATGGCGTTCTGATGTCCACTGTAGAGGACGCATAATATTTCAAAAATAAAAACTTACTTTCACAAAAAAATGTTTTCAGTATTCCAATTACCTTACAAAGATTTTGGAATTAAAAAAAAATGGTGATTGGACAATATTTTTTTTCCTGGTAGTCAGGAGGATATGATCCATACAAGGCTGTGGTAGTCCACAGTTATAAACAACAACGTCCTTGCGGGATGTTTTTATTGATTACGACAGTTCACGATTTCAGGCAGAGTGGGAACACCTTGTGTATCCACTGAAATAAACCACATAGGAAGATTCAGGGATTTACTGGTTTCAATGGGTATAGCTCTTACCAGAGCTCAATGGAGCCTTTGAGACATTGTCCACCCTCAGTTCCTCTGAGCATAGGTACTTTCCCAGACGTCTCAGTGAAACTAGAGCCTGAAGAAAATATTGATATCCAAATGTATGAAATATTAGACAAATGCCTAAAAAAAAAAAAAACCCATGATAAAAACAATCACAAGTATCAAAGAAAATAAAAACCCACCTGCATAGTTGTGCTAATTGCAAACGGCAGCTGGCTGAGTGGAGTCTTCAAAATGTTGATCAATGCCATGGAGACAAACACCTTCTGTGCATCCAGGACATTTCTGTCATCCAGCGTTACATAGACTCCAAACATGGCAAAGGCAATCTTAGAAAAAAACAACACAAAAATGGGTGTTATCAAATATCTTTGAAGTTTACATTTAAGACTTTAACAAGTTCATACATGTATCTGACTGTGACATATTTATGAATTGAGAAAGAACAAAAAAAGAAAAATGGAGAAAAGTATTCCTGAAAGTTTCCTGGATGTGTGTATTATTCCACCTTTCCAATTGAAATGTGGCAAACAGAGGCTGGCTCTACTCTGCACTTCTGCTATTTATGTTTCTAAAGTTCTTAATATCATCCATCTAGTCTTTGAGTATGTTAGAATTAATGAAATGAACGGAGATTGCACATAAGAAGAGCTGCATCATCAGCATAATATATACAATTATTTAATGCACAGGTCAAACCCAGCAGAACCTGAGAAAGGGCCTTAAAGGTATGCCATCCCTCAGGGAATCAACCACTACATTTCAGGTTTTCATCTAACAGAGCATTGGAATTAATATGTATGTGTACTGTTCACCACATTAGCAGAACATTTAGCAGCTGGCTAGGTCAAGTGGTAAGTCACCCGTCCTGCAAACAGGAAGCCAGGGTTTGTATACCAGCTGGGGGGGGAAATGTGGCTTCATAGTGGTTAGGGCATTGTGCTTCAAATCCTGAGGTTCTGGGTTCAAGCCCTACTCCCGACTGCCACTCTTGCTCCCTGAGCAAGACCTTTAACCCCACACTGCTCCCGTGTGCCGCACAATGGCAGCCCACTTCTCCACAAGGGAATGGGTTAAATGCAGAGATTTAATTTAATTGGTCTGTACTTGTGACAGTGTAATGTAATAATAATAATAATAATAATAATAGCATTTTGCACAACAATATTTCTATTAAAGATAATATGTGGGATTTCGTTTGAGCTTAGAAACTGCTATACAGCTTGATATCTTCACAAATGATATTTTTTACATAGGGAATGCTCAGAAGAAATTTTTTTTTAAAAGACTATTGCAAAAACCTGGGAACATCGATTAAGACTAAATTCATAGATAAACATAACCTCCAGCTGTAAGGTAAATGAAAAGATGAGTCAACACTTTTGAACAGCACAGAATCTCAGTCAACAAAGCTTCAACTTTAAGTAGACGCTAGTTCAAACATGCATGAAAAAAAGCTATAATTCTGATTCATCTTGCAGTTTGAGAAGAATTTTCCTAGTCTCAGAATCAGTTCTGTTTCAAACCTTTGCAATCATAATAAAGAAGACGCCAAAACGTAAAGCTACCCAAGTCAGGATAATTTAGTTAATGCCTAAATTGTAGGTTTTTTCACTTGGTTTTCTTACCAAAAAAGATGAAGAATTGAATGAGGCAATGGAGATGGAGTAAAGAATCTGAGACTTTTTCAGGGCCCTGAGCTCCTTCTCTCTGTAGCCCAAAACCTGCTCCAGGAAAGCCTTCTCCCAGGCGTAAAACTTCAAGATCTTTATTCCATTCAAGATTTCGTTCATCAGTCTTATGCGGCCATCCATGAACTTCATTTGAATCTCCTGTTGATCAGACAGATACAATTTACTTCCATTAAACTACCATCAAACATCAAGTTAACAAGTACCACACCAAAGCTAGAGCAGTCCTTCGTATGCATAAGAGTGTCCGCCCTCATTACAGCAGCAGTAGCATTCTCTGACCACCACACAAATTGTCTAATTCAGTAGGAATTTGTTGCTTGTTACATTATAGTTATTTTCTTTTATTATATGAAAACAGCAATACAGCAGCAGTCACCGTACTGAAGACAATTTTTTGATTAAACTGGCACCTAAGTTCACAGAAACCGTCTGTTGTTTTTGCCAGAGAAATGAAAAATTATGTCTTGCCACTGCCCACCCTTTCCTGTCATTGTTTTTCAAGCACATTATATGGGCCAGACATCAAAAGGACAAGAGAGAATGTAGCACCCAGGCCAAACACCCACACTGCTCCTCAGCCACTATCTAAACCAGCTGTGGCATCCCCACATCATGACGTGACGTGCCAGATGTCTGGTCTGCTGTGAAAAGGAATCCTGCCTTTACCTGCAGCTTGCTCCTTTTCTTTGCAATGAATCCGTTGAGTGGGAAAATGAGGATGACGGTGGCAATTCCTGCCAAAGCAGATGGGCCTAAATGCTGATGAAAAAAAAAAGAAGACAATTCTGAGCTAAATTATGGTGCATGCATGGAAGCCAACGAAAAAACATGACATTTCAACTAACCTGCCAGAGGAAGAAGAGACAGAGAGCAATCTCGATAGGAGCCAGCCAGACAGCGTTGAAGTAGACCACAAAATCCATGAGTTTCTGAGTATCTGCTGAGACCAGATTCACAATCTCACCTACGGTGCAGGTCCTCCTGGCAGAGCTGTTTATCACTAAAGACTGGATTGACGACAAGAGACTTTTTTCAGCCAAACATTTTTAGTTTTCAACATAAATTCATACCCTGGTAAAGATCAAACATCATTATCCACCTTCTTTAAAAGCTGTTAATCATACACTGAGATCAGTCTGAGAAGAGAGAAATCTTTTGTTTTGGCTTAATGTATAATTCAGATTTAATCACCTTCCTGTAGACCAAGCCCATGACTGCTGTCTTCACCCTCATGCCAACTGTGAAGCAGGTGTACATGTACTGATGGTTGAAGAGGGACTGAAGGCAGGAGAGGAGAAACATGAGAGTGGCGTAGAAGTAGCCCTTCCATAGAGGAGCGTCCTCATCCCTCATGAAGCCCAGAAGAAGACTGGGGGTATAAAAAGATGAAAGACTTTCATGTAATATTTTGCTTTTGTGATTCTTTTTAATAAAAAAAATATATTTAAATAATAACTGAAAAAAATATGCATGAAAGATTTGTCCTGTATTCAAAAAGCAAGGCAGAGAAAGAAAGGCTTCAAATGTGTCAACATAATTTCTTTTCAGTCTGATATTGAGCACCGCTGTGGCTTCTGGCTGGCTGACAGGTAGAAGCTCATGTTGCACAACAGAGCTTAGTCCGCAGCCTGGCCACACTCACACACTCAGCCTGTGGCTCTCTTATTGTGGTCCGACAGCATTTCTGCCATTTAGAGCCCTCTCTCCCTTTCTTTGCCTCTTCCTTCCTTTATTGGAGCACACAGGGCTGTGGTCTCGTCTGCTCTTCTCACTCTCAGCTCCACGACCGTAATTAACACTTGCACTGATTCGGCGCGCAGCATGAACAACAACATTCCAGTCTGATTGGTGGGATGGCGAGGCGGCTGGTGGCGGGTCAGTTGCAACCTGTTTTCACTGCTGCCAGCTTTCTTTTTTTTTTTTTATTATTTTAGTTGTAAATCATGGAAACACCAGTTCTGGTAACCCCTGGATATTATGAGCAAAACGTCTGGAAACTAATTGATATTTTATTTCAGTGTCTCATTAAAACTCAAAAATTTACCAACATTTCTGGGTGTGATTTTGCATCTTAGCAATATAAACAACCAAAAGTGGCAGGGTGTGGATTTATCCATCTGTATAAGATTGTGATATCACTGGCTGTTTGATGACTATACAAAAATTTTCAGCTTTGACTCAATGTTCTCAACTAAACTGTAGATCTGCCAAAGAATTCTTAATAAAAAAGGAATCCCTAAACCTGAGTAGTGTGACTCCTTTCATTCTAAGGGGATGATTTTTACAAAAAGATTTCAAACAAACTTTATAGGTTTAAGGTGAAAATTTAAAATTGATAGTTTTTACCTCAAGACCTGAGGGATGGCGAACATGAAGGCATCATGGAATATGATACACAAGGTGCCAGTCAGGAAATATGGACCAAACTTGCGTGCCAGAGTCCTGAGCAGGAAAAACCCAGAGCTTTGCTCCTTCTGCAGCTTCCTGAGGAGCTGAGCCTGGTCTGGTAGCCTGCTGCCCAAAGCTGCACCAGACGCTAAGGCCTTCTGCTGCCTGCATGAGGGGTAAAAAAAAATAAAAAATAAATAAATATAGGAGTTATAGGCATGGTGCATGCAGATCAAAAAAGATAATCAGTTTTTCTTGCCTTCACTGATTAACTAGAAAAATGCACCAACTGGTATGAAAATCAGGGTTTAAAGAAATAATAATTATACTTGAGGCTTTTCAATGCTCTGGATCACATTAAGACGTTTTAAAAATGACTCAGTGTTACAGTCATGACATTATATTACCTTTGTCCTCAAGTGACTTCTTATTGCCTATATTTAAACCTGACTGTTTGCAGTTGAGACATCCTGATTTTCACTTAGCTACTACAACCGGCGCTCTGCTCAGATCATTAACTGGACTGGCAACATGCCGGAGGGATATAAAACAAGATTATAAAACTGAATTATATCTTTGGATGTGGAGCTATGACAATATTTCAAGCTATTCAGTGGAGTTTAAACTCAAGCAAAACCAAAAAGCAAGTTGAGCCAGAAGAAAAAAAAAAAGATATAGAACTTTTTTTTTTTTAATTCATCTCATGTTACCTAATTAATTTACTTAAGGAGCTGTCTATTGTAAGGAACTGAAGACTATTAGTACCCAAGAGTTACTGCAATTAATTTATAAAATAAAATAGAAAAATCTTAAAACCATTAATCATTCCATTTATTTGTCAATACCATGCAATGACTAAGAGATACACTAAAATTTGTACATTAGAAAATACCAACCAAAACAAAAGTAAAATATAAATGCTTTAAACAGCACCGTATTTGATGCTGGACAGAGAAAATAAAAACAGCGCTTTGGCATCTGGGTTAAGGACTGAAGCAATCCCTTAACTAGCGGTCAATGTCCATTAAGAGAGGCGTACACTTAATAAAGTTCTCACTTTTGTAGTTTGGCACATTCAGTTTTCCAGTCCTGTTGCAGCTCAGAGATGATCTTGTGTGAGGTGTCTTCCTCTCTAAGGGTCCACAGGTCCTCTGCCTCCAGCGGGGTGCGATACCCTTTGACAACAAGCCTGAAGAAGGTTGCATGGCAGATGCTTCACACCAAATCCATCATCAAAACACACATTATTGTAAACAAGTACAAAATGCTGCCCGCAAGTGAGTCAGTATGTAAAAAAATTAGAGGTTTTCAAAGAACCATCTTACCCAGTGAACCACCAGAAGAGGATCTTCGAGAGGAAAGAGGCATCTTCCACGGGACAAGGGTTCTGCAACAGATTAAAGACCAGACTTAATAGTTGTTTTTGCAGAAAAACGCTCACCACCAAGAGGCTTTTTAGAAACACACGCAGCCTCACCGAGGCAGAGCTGGCGGATGGTTGAATGCTATGCCTGTGAGGGGTGTGTTTGGGAACACTAATGTCTGTAAACAACCCGGTAAACTCAGGTGGTCCGCTATGTGGAGTGGAGGCCGTGAACTCCCAGAGAGCAGAATAAACAGGACAACGATGACGTTGATGAGGTCTAACGCAGAGGGAAACTGTGTCATTGCAAACTTTCCTACACACACACAGACTTTATGAAGAAACATTGTGTTCTTCTGACACAGACTTCATAGCATGGCCTCCACCCTGCCGCCCCCTTACCCGGGTGTTTTCACTCCTCATTATGACACTTTTACTTTTTTGTCTCTGGACTTCCTGTCTTCCTGTAAGTAACCGGAGGATATTGAAGAAAAGAGGAAGAGTAAAAAGAGGAGGACACACCACTGGGTGTGTCCACCACGCCAGACTGTGGCTGCTGCACCCCTAAGCTCCTCACCGCTAACCAACAGTAGGTTAGGGACTTTTCTAGCTCTTATGGCTCCGTCACCGGGGAAATATAACATCACAAGCTGTACCAGTTTGATTGATTAGGACTTTATTTTCAGTCACTGCTCAGCTGCCAGATATCAGGAAACTATATGTATATCAAATGTTTGATTGCTTTGTGTTATCTGTGTTAAGTAATGAGTTTCCTGTTATGCAGCCACAGATTACACATCTAGTCGTCACAAACTGAATGAGTTGTTGCAAAGATATGCAGGAGCCCCCTGTCAAACACACACACATACACACGCATACGCTGGTTCACACCCTTCTCATAGGAAGCCGGAGTTGTTAAGTATAAGAGGAATGAGGGGGGTGGCGTTTCGCATCACTTCCTCCAAAAGGCAAAAATGTCTTGAAAACAAATCAAAAACAAACAACCACAAAATAGCCACTTTGGCATTTTTGCTTCCTGGGTATCATGTCATCATACATGTAATCGCCGGAAACGGAATATATTCGCTTCTGCCTACCTTTTCCAAGATTGGTTTTCCCTGTGGAGCCTGGTCCGCAAAACAGCACAGGAAGAGCTGGGCCAGTTGGATCGAGAAGTAGGAGAAGAAGGCGAGGTAACGTACGATATCAGACGCAATGCCCTAAAGAAAAAGAGGACAATTAAAAGAGGCAAATATATTCAATTACGGAAACAATGCATTAAGTCACTCTTAAATTAGGCTAATCTGCTATCACTAAGGGAAGAAAATCTGAAATATTCAACATATTCTAATATGTCCAGATATCTACTGACCTCTTTATCTGTTCAATTGCCTTTTCAAAGAAATTACATAACAACCAATCATGTGGCAGCAACTAACTCTAGTTAAATATCTTAATTAGGTAAGGACTCACTGAAGTTCCAAACGAGCACTAGAATGGAAATAATATATATAAATAATAAATAACCAACCTAAAGTGCTGCCTGGTTATAAGTGCCAGATGGGATGGGTTGGTAGTTCTAGTTTTCAAATACAAATATTGGTTGGTTGACATAGAACAGTCAGATAAAGAGAAAATATCCAGAGATCAGTGCCTTATTGATGTCAGAGGTCTATAAAGAACCACTGGACTGCTTAGAGACAACAACAAGACAATCATCTTCTCTTTCCAAGTCAGAGATATATATCATTTTGCACTGAGTTTGACTTACAAACACAGTGCAAATACTACATATTGGTCAGAAAATAGCAGCTAGTGTTGCTGTGAGTTTTGGGAGGGAGATTTGGACTACAATTCATGCCTGATTCAAGGTTGAAAACATTTTAGGCTTAACCCTTAGCTACTCTGACCTATTTCTGAAAAACAAACAAAAAAATTTTTATTCTTAGATTTCACCAAAATCACTGTCTCTTGCTGCTTGTATTTTGAAAGGTTCATCCTGTTCAACACTTTCCAAGAAAGTAAACATTTTACTTTATGGTGGACCAAAACAAAAGTCTTGTTTTGACTTAGAAAATATGCAAATTGACCTGGACAAACAAACGGGTTCGCCCCTTAGGATTGGGTGACGTTTGGGTTCTTTGTTAGCCTGCACTACCGAACATTCTCTCAGAAAACAAACTACTGGAAAATCATGATTGAGAAACTATATGGAAAACTGACTACTGTAAAAAATAAAATAAAAAATGATGGCACCATGGCAATATGTTGCTTCCTGATTTAAATAGCTGTGCTTCAGTGAAGCAGGATTGCTTATCTATTTTATTTCTAAATAAGCTTTTAATTATTAATTATTTTTTGTTTTGTTTTTGAAGATTAAATAAGCTACTGTATGCATCAAAAACCGCAAAAAGTGGGAATGGAGCTTCATCTCCTGGCATTGTTCTGTTTATAATCATGACTATCAAAATAAAATAAATTATATTTCTCGTATATAGTAGGTGGTTACGTTTTTTTTTTCTAACTTCTACTTTATTGAAATGCACAGCATCCACTAGTTTATTGGGTGATTTGTTGCAACTTGTGTTTGAGTTTAGTTTTGCAAAAACCCAACGTGTGTTTATACAGCGTTGGCTATCCGACATCATGCAGCGTAGGATTTACGTATCAAGATCACATATTCAACATTGACATAAGCAACATCAGAGTGAAAACCCAATGATTTTATTGCTGTGTTTTGTGTGAATGAACCAAAAGCTGGTGTTGCCTCTCAGTCACGCATAGATCCCATATCTATAAATAGGGAAACTGTGGTTTTACAAGCCAGCACCCTCACTTTCAATCATGGGAGCAGCTTTAATATTAACCACTAAGAGACCTTTATAAAAAGCAGGATGTGTATGTTATTCTTGACATACAGGATTTGTGGCTTCTGGCAGTGTGCGTTGTGTACCGCTGGGAAAACTTAGTTGCCAGAGCCAGCCTGCATAGCAGCTGCAGCATTTGTGTGTATGTGAAAGTGGCAGCCCTTCCAAACAGTACAACTCTTTTCTCTGAGAAGTATGGAGTTTTGCCCAGAAAGCAGATATGAAGGGGCGCAATGGATATGGCCACACAGTGACAGAGTCAGTATGGTCAGATTGTGGGTGTGAAAAATTTAGGCCAGGCAGCTAAGAATGGCCAAACGTCCACAAACATGAACCCTGTCAACTAGGAGGGTCAATTATATAATGAGAATTAGATGTTTTAGTCAGAAAAAAAACAGGATTATGCAAGCTTAGATGTTGATAATGAAGAAAATGGCTGAACTGCGCCTCAGCTTTTACTTTGTGTAAACAGTTATACATGTAAAATAATGAATTCTAGCATTGCAACTGCATTCATGTATATTAAACTGATGCTGTTTTTAAAAGTTAGTAAAGGTCCAAATTCTATGTAAAAGCTCAATCATAACTTGATTTATCATATTATGGTGCACTTCAGTTAAACATTATCCAATCTAGCCGACTTAAGTTTAGCGCCATTTCTAAGTCCCCATTAAAGTCAGATGTAGACTTTTGGTAAAAATAATTAAATGAAGAAATACAATAAAATTGTCTCATTATTGAAAGAAAACAGTTTAAGAAAACCTCTCTGGTTTTATTCTGAATCTATCCACTGATGCTACTGAGTGCTGTCATTTTGATGTAACACACGGATGGCTCAGTCTAATTTTACAGAACCTACATTCAAAATCTGAACTCTTTATTTATTGTGTTGATGTAGGCTATCTGCTCCTGCATAGAAATGTTGAATTGTAGGAGCCGATCTAATGTTGATAAGCTAAAGCACCCCCCACGCCATGGGTCATCATAGGGAGGCTGTGTTCAGGGAGATGTTACGTGCATATTATTCACCACACATAACTGGGCATGTGAGCCATGTTTTTAAAATGTTAGGCTTTGCCATCGATGGCTAATTAGTTCCTCCGGATTGCTTTTTGAGTATTAGAGTAAAGGAGGGTATATATACAAGTGCATTTCACCAATACATTGAAAACAGCTAATAGGCTTCCTTCCAATTATTGTATTTATTGTTGACATATCAAAATCAGAAACAAAATCTTTAGTTACACACAAATGTTAGTGGCTGTAGAGTGAGACATTGCCAGAGCAATCGAGGGGAGATACTTTTGCATGGTATTCTTACATTATGTCTCAGCTTTGAGTAAAACCAGCAGCTTTTTTTTAAGTTAGAACATGTACCTACAGCATTCTATTTATTCCACTCTTTAAAGAAACAATGGCCCAGTTAATGTGTTAGCATTAAAGATTTAATCTCTAAGCAGCTTTTGTCCATACGGCTGTCAAAGGAGTCTTTGAGACCCAGAACTTTAAGATAAGGGATAAACAGTATGAGGTGTTGGTGCACCTCCAATAAGTTCACAAATGTGGTTTCGCAAAATATAAACATCTGCATCTAAGCTGCACATGGCTTTGCATTATGTGTGGATGCATACATTTTCATCTAGTTGTGTTTACTGTGGCGTAGGCCAATAAACACAGCGCTGACGTTTCTCTGGTCTGACCTTGGACTGCCATGTCTCACCAGCAGTTATCCAAGGGCCATCATTACTTTCCCCCCAAGCAGTGTGGGAATGTCACGCCGGGGACGATAAAATAGAAATATAGATGCATGCGAGTGTTTTTTATAGAAATGCAAATGCTGCTGTCCCATGGCTCCGTGTGTGTATGAGCGCTAACCTCTTCATACAACAATGATTACAAAGTCTGACAGGAGACACAGGAAGAAAGGGAGCACTTAAACACTCACTGCTTTGACCAGAATTGGCACTGTCATCCTCCAACACTTTGTGTTAACTTTAGGTTACCTTGGTTAAATCTCGGGCGAGAAATAGAAACTCTTTGCTGACACAGGGTATATCTCAAACTGTGCTCCAGGAGTCTTGTGTCTAGACTTTTGGTAAGAATAGAGCTGATTAGATATTCCAGCACTTTTAACAACATCGGTTCACTGAGTTCAAACCAAACACACAAACAGATTCATCATCAGGTCCTTATTTCCAGTTAAGGAGGATAATTTTAATTCTTCTGGTGTTTCGTGATATTTATTCTATAACTGAATTAATATATTTCAGTGTTTTTTATTAGCATTAAATATTAAGTTTTAAACAGCTTTAATTTCAGTTAGTATAAACTGAGTCAATTTCTGTCCTACGATGAATTTTTCTTTGAGCTGTTGAGTTCATTAAGCGGAAATTGATTTCAACACTGTTTCATTTGATAGATTAGAAAATGACAGAAATATAGACAATACCTAAAGAAGCAAAAGGAAATAATTATGCATTAGATATCTATCCTTAGCTTGAAAGAGATAATATTGGTGCTGTGAGGCTTTCTACCTACCTCATCTATGGCCAGCTGGATCTTTGCCCTTAAAGGTACCAGGGAACAAATAACAGACAAGACCCAGAACAAAAAGAGAAAAACGGAGGAGCGACAGCCTCTTATTCTTTCCAACTGGATGATGCATAATGCCAGGATCTGCAGAAAACATAAGGACAACAAATTCTGATTAATCCATAGAGTCAGAGAAATGAGGAACACAGAGAGAATCTATAACAGCAAACAGTTTTCAACATTTGTTGCTGACTCCTTTCCAGTACCTTCTGATATAAGCAGCTAGCATTGTTACTGATGTTTTTAGCTGTGCATAGGGAAAAGTGTAGACTTATTTCAGTCGTATGCATGCGTATGATGATGGTTTTAGAGAAATAACACAGATCTTTGGGAATTCCCTTGCTCGAGGCAGAAACCTGATTTGGCTGCCTTTTACGCATGCCTGGTAGGCCGCGCGCCTTGCGCACATTTTTCTGTGGTATTATAAACAGTCCTAAAAAATCTTGCCCTCCATGTTTTTTTCTAAAATAAAACAGATTCTGCTTTTGAACACAGCCATATGTGCACCCTTGACGGAATCGTGCAGTTTCATGCGAATAGCTATAATCTGGCCCCCCACTGAGTGGTTAGCAGAGCCGTTTGTTCAGTTAGTTTTTTTTGACAGTATTGCGGAGTGCAGGAAGAAAAGGGTTTCAAATAAGTGCATTGTTTGGAAACTCTTGGATGAGCCACAGCATTTTCCTATTAGAAAGTAGGTTTTGACAAATTATCATGACAACTTGTTGCTTTTAAAAATGTAACATTGTGATCATTTTAAGCATGGAGGCATGAACATTTACATTTGATGACTGTTACTGTCCCTTTTTTCATGCAAGGCAACATGTATGTAACAAAGGGATATGATTCAAAATGAAATCATTCAAAAGATAAATTTATGTCTATTATAGCATTATGTAGATTAATTACAAGCAGACTCACGTTTTCAAGCCGTTTTTTCCAGTTATTAAAATGATGATAAAATAAAATAAAATAACATAAATATAACACTGCATCAATAGAATTACATTATAGCTAAAACTTTGTGAAAATTATGTTTAAAAATTGCTGATAGGTTGGCTTTTTAAAAGTGACTTTACTCTGACAAACAGGCCTAATTGGAGCATTCTTTGTATTTCAATGAATATCTACCATATATTATCAATATTTAACATGCAAATTATTATTTCATTGACTTTTGAACTGAATATTTTTAGTGTTTAATATATATTTATTCAATTCACATAGTATAAGAATATGAAAGGAATTACAGAAAGGAATAACAAAAAGCAGGTAATAAAAATATAAACAATCCCTCCCCCCCCCCCCCCCACCCCCCACTGTCGTTTATAAAATCGACAAAAACATAACAACACACAGCATAGACCATCAAAAAGGAGGTAGTAGACAGATAATTGAAAAATAATAACCAGAATACCATACAGATTCAATCTTGTAATACTGTAGATGGTTGGCTGAAAAAGGTTAAGAAAGGTCTCCAGACTTGATAAAATTTCTTTTCAGAGCCCCTCAAAACAAAGCGAATTTTCTCCAACTTAAGGTGGAACAGCACATCTTTCTGAACTGAATATTTTTAACATATCTCAAACAATTGTAAAAATGCACAGAATCAATTGATCCAACAGACAATTGTCAGTCTCATTGTTAACTCTGATATCCTTTTATGTCTGTCACAATCAAACTAGCATTTATTTTCATTTGGCTTAGTATAGGCATTAATCTGGACAAAATTTTGGCAGGCCTAAAGTAAAAATTTGTAACTTTTGGTCAATAGCGGAGCCAGGGAGGTAACTTTGAAGTTTAGCACCCCTGAAAGAAACCAGCATCACTGCACTGTCACAAAATAAAACAGTCTCCCTCCATGTTATGGAATCTGATTGCAGGACCAGCAGACTGAGAGGTGATGATAAAAACACAAAAACAGTCTCCCCTTTAAATTAATCAGAGAACCAGAAATATGTCTGAGCAGTTGTCATGTCTATTTTTTTTTTCTTTTTTATTAAAATCAACATTTAGCTTAGTTAGCTTTTGTGTTCAAGGTTGTTCAGACTGCTGTAAAGTGGCCCTCAGGATCACATGACTCATTCAGTGATGCATCCGATCATCTCCAGTTATATAGTCGTTTCTTGAGAAGGGCAGTCCACACAGACCATCAATAGATGCCAAGTGCTGAATAATGAATAATTATTTGATATACCTCAAAAAAGGCTAATACTTGAGTCAGATGTTATGCAGTATTGCTTTAATACCTCCGTAAAAGACATTTCATCCCAGCGCTGTGTGTCTCGAGCCCGTAATATCATCAGGCACCCCTCACACCCCCACCATGGACTGTTCTCCCTGCTACCCTATGAGAAGTGGCTTTGCAGCATTTGGTGCAGAGCCAACAGGTTCTGGAACATCTTTTTCCCTGCTGCCATAAGACTTTTGAACTACTGAAACTCTAGTAAAGTCACAAATCTAGACTCCGCATCACACTGATAACATCATTTTGGACTACATGGTGAATCTTCAAAATATAACAACTCAGTGTTTCTACTGCATTTTGCACCATATCTATTTATTTATTTTTGCACTGCCCTGAACCTTCCACATCAATGCCTTTTGCACCATGTCTCTCCTACACTGTTTACATTTTGATCAATGCATCACTTTATAAATGGAAATGTGCATTTTACTGCTAAGCTACTGCTCACTCAGTCTAGAAAAACTGTATGTGTCCAAATTTTGTTTTGTATACACTCTGTGTACGGAAGCCGAGAGCAGTCGTGTCCCTTAGATACTTTTTCACTGTGGTTTTCTTGAGAAAACAAGTACATTTTCTCATTATCTAAAGATAAGTAAAGCCTTTTTCTCTTGATAAAAAATGATAATGTTTTCATTCGAAAGCCGTTTTCTCGTCATAACCAGATGATTGGTGTGTTAAAACGGATTACATCCTTCAATACCAAAACAGCGCAAGAGGATTTAAAAGTCATGGCAGCCTATGTGTAATTCTGTAAAAAATCCTGTATTTAACTTTTAGGTAACAAGACGATGTTGTTGGTTTGATGATTTACTTCCACTTCTGATACATAAGCAATTAGACCTATGCTTCCGGCGCCTTAGCGCAGGGTGTTTTCTGAACAGCCCTGGTGTTAAGGCTGTAACAGGTATAAGATGCAATTAACCTGAGTCCCAATTAAAGATTTCCATTAAAAAACTGTTCTATCCCATGCAATCCATTCATAAACCACAACCTGACAATGAGTGAAAGGAAAAAGGAAACAAAAAAAACTGATTATTTGGGCACACGTGATACCGTGACTGCATAACCACGGGCACCACAGGCAGGGATGGACTGGGAATCCAGGGCTGTGGGCCAGCCTTATTTCATTACTCCTACAGGTTAATCATCTCGTTATCTCGAGAAATCAATAACTGTTTTCTCGTGATAACAAGATAATTATCTTGTTATCTCAAGAAAACAATTAATTGTTTAACCGTAATAACAAGATAGTTATGTCATTTTCTTGAGAAGACAAAGGAAGAAAAAAATAAGTCGAGTACCAACGCTCTCAGCTTCCATACTCCTACAACAAAGTTTGTCTAAGTCTAATTCTAAGGTTTCAATGAAAAATATTAAGTTTTAAGTTTTTAAGTATATTAAAAATATAGTTCAGAAACCGCAGAATTGTTCAAACATACTTTTCCTGCATTTTGAAATGTTTTGATTAAGTTGCTAGAAATTTCCCACTTTTTTGGCCTGCTGTCAGTCAGCTCTGTATACCAGTTTCAGGAAGGGAGTTTTTTTCTTCAGATAAAGTTGTCAGTGTAAAAAGTTTTTTTTTTATAGAGGCACAAAAAAATAAACAACAACAAAGTAGAAGTAAAATTTGGGAACAAGATATGAAGGTAAGCATTTCTGCCTATGAAATTAAAAGCCTTATGAGGTTTTCAGTGTTACTTATAAAAACAGTCTGTTGGCCAAACACACTTTGACTACTTTTTTTAAAAACACATGTCACTTCATCTACTGCAGATCACATAACTCAAGAGATCAGCATTTTTAAGATTCTCATATATTTATTTGCACCTTCATTTTCTGTTGCAATAACTTGAAACTTCATTTTTAAGGCCACCAGAAAGCATGGATCTATTTTCTAGCAGGTTCCTGCTCTGAGTTGCCTGTTGCTGCAGACATCATCTCTGTTTGTTTGTACAACAACAAAGGGTGGAGTTAACTCCATCACTTTGGTCTGAGAACCAATCCCTACCTTTTAATTAAATGGCAAGTGTGTAGTGCTATGGAGAGGAATAAGATGTTTACGTCATTGGGTTACTGATTTAGCTGCTGATGTGTCTACTTATCATCTATAGTAACCATGGTTTAGTCTATACTTTAAGCAAGAAGGGGCAGAAAAAAGTTGGTCTGCTGTATGTCTGCATGAAGAAATCAAGATGTTATTTCAAGCACCATGCAGAAAATGTTATCTTTTAATAAAGATAAATTTGGTAAGTAAATTGAACGATTGGCAAGAGGCTTTTGACAGGATTTTGTGGTTGCCTGTCGTTAAGCCTTCAGCTGTGAATGATTATATCCTCAAAATAGATCATCTTTTTTGGGGTGCATCCCTAAATACAAGAGACGGTTCAGTATATTTTTGTCTAAACATGTGCGTGTGTTTACTCAGGCATCTTTAAAGACCACAGGACGGTAAACCTGTCTGACCTTTAGAGAGGGAGACTAAGAAGGACCTGTATCTGTCTGCAGCGAGAGAAAGCCTTGCAGGTATAACTCTGCAGCTTCCTGGGTCTGTTTTAGGACTCTTTGCAGGCATTTAGCACCGCTTTATGGCTGTGTAACTGTAGCATCCACTTTTGTGAAAACATAAACAGCATTTTAAATTGTCATGCCACCCATGTAAGGCAGCACCACACCTCCTTCATTGTGCCTACATGTACTGCTTAGGTATAATTTAACAACTGTTGGAAATGAGTAAGTTCCCCGTTTTGAGAAACAACCACAACTAGAACCGTTCTCTGATTGCATACCATCCCTTATTTCTTATATATATTTTTCTGTATCCTGGCCAGCCCACATGCCACCACGATAAAGGTCATAAAGGGCATGGTGGTTTAATTCATGATTTACTGAGGTAGAACATAAACAACATCTGTTGAAAGTAAATACTTTTTCAAAAGCTCCTCAGAGAGAGGACTGACTTACGGAGGCTAGTTAAACCCCATGTGATGGACTGGTCATCTGTGCATGGTGATAGACACCAGCCCCTTGTGACCCTGGATGGATGGATGGCTGGATGGATGGATGGATGTAAGGATAGACAGATGGATGGATAAATGGATGGATGGATGGATGGGTAGATGGATGAATGAATGAGTGGTCGATGGATGGACGGAAGGTTGGATGGACGGAAGGACAGACGAATGGATGGATGGATGGATGGATGGACGGACGGAAGGAAGGAAGGACAGATGGAGAGATTGATGGATGGATGACTGAGTGGTCGATGGATGGATGGACGGATGAACATATGGATGGGTGGATGGATGGAAGAACAGGTGGATGGTGGATGGATGTGTGAAGTGATGGATGGATGGGTCGGTAGACGGGCGGACGGACAGACAGGTGGACAGCCGCATGGATACGTAGAACTAACCCTGAAAATTATATAATGCTGAAGCAGAATGCAAAAATTTAAAAAATTTGATCCATGGCTTTCAAAACAATCTGCAAAATTTGCTAACTTTGTATTCAATCCCTTTTACTCAATACCGCTTTCTAAATATGGTGCAACTGACTGCCTTCAGAAGTCATCTTCGTATACATAATAAGCCTAGGAGACATTCAATCTCAGTGGAAATCCAGCTGTCCAGTGAAAGCTTCCCAGGTTTGTTCAGCATTATGACAGGGCACATAAGATGGAAGACAGATGAAGCTAAACACAGGCCAAACCTTTGCAGAGAATAGAGGCTGACTGGTATATAAAAAAAGCATATTCCTAAAGTGGAATGGCCAAGTCAGGGTCTAGACATTTGTCCATTTGAATGTCTGTGGTAGTGCTGGGAAAACTCTGATTTAAATCTAACTTTGCTTAAGATATTTTTCAAAAAACCAAACAAAAAAAAAATAAAATAAGCTGGTTCAGACAAAGCCTAAAACTTTATGTAATTTTAAAACTGAATCAAAATGCAAAGACAGGCTGCTCTTGTCATATTTCTGCTTATATGTGATAAAATCCATGGCACATTTTCTCCACTTAAAAATCACACACTTCTCTGTTTTGGTCTCTGAAATTAAGTCTCAAAAAATACATTGGGAAATGTGGTTTCAACATACCAGAATTTTTTATTTTTTTTTCTGTCATTGAGCTTTTGCTGAGTAATTTACTACTACATATCTGACCTGTATGAACTTTCTTCAGACACCAGAGTGAGTAAAACGGATTTTGAAGTATGGCCATGAAGAAATCTCATTTGTTTTACTTTTTGCTTAGTATAAACCACATTACACCTTAAATACAGTTTTGGTCAGCACAATGGCACTTAACACCTTCTGTCCAAGCGTACACCTGAAGCTAAAAAAAGACAGAATCAGTCTGTGTAATTAGGGTTCACATAAACCACAATTGTATATCTTTAACTTTATATTTAGTGGGTTTTGTGTTTCTTATGAATAAAAAAAACAAATGTTTGGGGCAAAAACAGATAACCTCATGATAAAGGAAATAGTTGTTTTCTCTAAGTGCATTTAAAGCATAAAATTAGTCTTGATGAACCTTCATGAGTAGATTTGCCTTCTGCTTTAAACTGCTACAGAGAAACCAAAATACCCTAATGCTGTTTACTTTTTAACTGTATTAGTTTTTATTTTAAAGTCTTAAATATTTTTTTCACACGGGGTTTTTTTCTTGCTTCACATGGTCTGTTTCTGACAACGTACCTCACAGGTTTTCATGCTTTGGATCTTTGCACATCAGCACTTTATGCTGACCCCCACATCAAACAATAATGAATGCCATGACATTTGTACTCTGAACTCTGATGATTGATTGTCCAATATGTGTGTGCACTGTTTACAGGTAACTGCTATATTTACATTGTCCTTGACACTATAAGTCCGTAAAATATCTTTGCACCCTTGTGTCTGGCCAACACACTATGTTTACTTTATGTGTATTCCCTCATATCTTTGCACAGTTCTGCGAAACGGCAGGTTATAGCGTCAAATATTCCCCAAAAGTTCTCTGTTTCTCAGAGCAAATCAGTAAGAGAGTGAAAAGGCAAATCTGTCGATGCATTTTTTTTCTTCTTTCATAAAGCCAAGTTGAGTAGTTAAGGTATTTCTACAGTTCTATAAAAATATTATTAATTTATACCTAAAATGGATTGTAATACAGCATCTGTGTAGAAAGATTCCTAGAACTTACCACTGTCATGCTGCGTATGATGGGGCTAAGTAGAAAGACCATGTGATGCTGGATGTCTTGACTTCTTTCTAGTAGGATGTAGAAGAACTCAACAAAACCAAAAGAGGCGAGCAGAAAACCCAACACCTGAAAAAAACAAACCAAAAACAATCTTCAAACTATAGATTTGAAAACATCTATAGATATAGTCAAAATGGCTAGTAAGTTTCTGTTATCATTAAGGCCTGCAAAACCTGCTTTGGGGATATGTCCTGCCAAGTGTGTGTGCATTGATGTTAGTCCTGTGTTGCCCTGTGAATCTGCAGGTATTAACCAGGTGTAGAAAATGTGTGGGTGGATGGATATTTCATACAAGTGTTGCATAATGGTACAGCTGTTAGCATCACAGCAAGAAAGGTTCTGTTTTGCCATTCTGGTCATAGACTTTTTTCTTATTGTCCATTGAGGCATTTTTGTAGAGACACTGTCTTTCTACCACAAGCTCAATATTATGGTTATTGCCCACTCTTTTTCACTCCTGGAAGAGAACGTGTTATTACATATTTTAACTACTTTCCAAAAAAGTAAAAAAACAATCTACTGGACTTTGTTTCCACGTGTCACGACGTTTCATATTTAACTACTGTAAAAGTTGGTCTTCTGAATGACTTCAACTTGTTCTGACTGTACCCCACCTCTAGACCATCAATCTCTGAAAATAGGTTCTTCTTTTAGGGGTGGCAGAGCGGTGAAATATTCACAGTAAAACATATCCTGTGTTTGCATATGTTGATTTTGCGTCTGCTCCTCATTAGACTTACTACCTTTTACTTTCCAAAAATGCATGTTAGAGTAATCTGCCTCTCCAAATTGCTCCAACATATACATGTGCTCATGATTGTGTATACAGTGTATCTGTGTTTGCATGTGAACCTATATAGGGTTTTACTCCACAACTAGGTTGTTGTCTGCTGGAGATAGGCACAGGCCCCATCTGAACCCTGCATCGATTTAGCAACTATAGAAAATGAGTACATGGATGTTGCAAACAATGATTTCACAGTGCAACAAGTCCTTGTGTAAGAGTGCCCATGCATGGTTGATTTTTCTGTATGCCTGTGTTGGCCCGGTAAAGGACTGGTATATTACTAAAGCTATTACCTGTCTCTTGATTATTGACCTCTGAAGATATGCATCAGTTCCTTTAATCTTCCACAAAGCGTCGAGTCAAAAGTTGGTATAGAAAATTAATAAATGTAATCTCACCATTTTGGCGATGCAGAGCCAGGACATCTGAATCCGTCCACGGTCATGACAGTAGAGGTGAACACAGTAGAAAGGGACCAACAACCATAGGTAGACACAGGGGACCCACACTAGAACTGTGTTCTGGAAACACTGGGTCAGGTCTGGGTTAGCGGTGTACCATGTTCGGTTCCAGTCCTGAAATAATGACATAAAAATAAGAATTGCTAATCGTTTGATCAGATATCAGAAAGTCACTTGGGTTATTACTTTTATAGTTAAACAAACCAAATTTATAGAACTCTCTATTCATAAAAAACTACTCAAAGCATTTATTTATTTATTTGCACTTACAATTGCCTCACACAAAGGGTTAAGGGCTTAGCATTGCAGCACATGTAAACAAAAAGAAGTTTGAATCAAACCGGCAATTTTCCGACTACTCTACCCACTGACCTGTAGTTGCAAAAACACTTAAAGTAAAACATTCAAAAGTGCCTAAGGTTCCAGACTTTGTTGCAGGTTTGCAGCACTGTATGCCAGCCAACTGGGAACTTGGGCTATTTCATGACAATCTTAGCTGCAAGAAACATTCTTTTAACATGAGGTCAGTTTAGGAAATGTTCCGACATTTCTGTCTGGCCACCAAAGAAAAGTAGAACGATCCAGTGCCAAACTGGTGCACAAGAAACAAACAAAGAATTTGGGACAAAAGTTTTGGGATTATACAGCAGCGGCAGAGCTTCATTGTGATGTCTTTGTTTAGAAAATATAGTGGGCTAAGTGGCTTGTTGTTCTTTTGGTTCCCTTGTTTATCACCTCCTCTGCCTAATGAGGGACAGGGCTGTGTTAACGAGACTGCCCTGCATAGTCACTGCAGGAAGCAGTTTATGGCTCTGAGCATGGTAGAGGAGTCTGGACCACTGGTAGAACCCCAACTAGGGTAAAGTGGAGTGGCCAAATTGGTGGCAGCTGAGAGGCCGATATGTAACAACTATTCCTCTGCAGCCTGGTGAGCAGATGAGTTAGACTTTGCACACACATTTGAAAAATTTGTAATTTTTGTCCCCGATGCCAAAAGATCTGAAATCAGAATTATTTTACATCTTTGCCCATGGAATACCACACACTGTGCATTTTTGTAAATCTCTGAATCTCAACTGGTTAATGTTTTTGCATTGGATCTCTTTTGCAGCTACAAGTACAAAATCCTTCAAGTGATCTAAACGAGTGGGAGGCTATTTTCACAGTCCCTTCTGATTCCTGTGGTCAATGGCAGGTAGATGTTCATAGCCCCGTCATGAAAAAGTCTAAACTGTCAAACCTCCTCCTTGTACTTTCTTCTGCAGTTTGCTCATCCTTTGCCAGAAGGGTTGCAGTAAGCTTGTCCGGGCCAGCAGCTACTGCAAGGGGTCTATTTTTACCAGAAAAACACAATGATGTGAAGGTAGAGAGCAGAGACGATTTATGTGCCAAATGTGCAAAATTTATTTATTTATTTTTACGAATTCAATTTTTTTAACCTTTGGGTGCAGATGATTACAGAAACTGACAAAGGCTTTCACAATCTTCACTTTGAAAAGGCTTTTAAAACAGTATAAGTGGGCTGATGGGAGCGCATGTAGTGTAGAAAGGAGAAGGACCCTGTAATTTCTGTGAGTGTCAATCTCTCTGTCAACTCTCTTGTCAGCATCGCCTTGTCCTGTCATTCAAATTATAGGTCAGGTTGAGCAAAGTGGGAGAAACTAAATATACAGCTATTCTTGTGGATTGAATCTTCTCAAATGAGCAAACCCCCCCCCCCCCCCCCCCCCACACAAATCTTAGCTGTACTGTAGCTCAGATGATTCAATTCAGTTTATTTAGATGGTGCCAATTCACAACACATCTCATCTCAAGGCACTTTACAGAGACAATTCAAACAGATCATACAGTAAAATTAGAAAGTTTTCTTTCTAAGGAAAACCATCTCATTGCATTGACTCATTGACTCGAAAGTAATCCCTCACAACAAGCATGCTCATAGTGACAGTGGAGAGGAAAACTCCCTTTTTAATAATGAAGTTGCTGAATTGTTTTTTTTTCTCTGAAATCAGCTGTTATTCTCTTGTGAATAGCTGATGGTTGGACAGAAATCAATTAAATTCAAATAGATTTTATTTTATTCTTAAGAGATAGAAAATGTTGTTGATGGATGTAAGGACCATTGACATGTTTTTGTGTATGGTGACAGCTGTGGATAGTAAGCATCTTCTGTAGCAGTCTGTGTTGGTCCTGAAGCAGGTCTAGAGAAGCCTCTGACTAGGGAGTGTTGGTCTAGTGGTTAGAGGAGTGCGCTTGGGCTCTGAGAAGGTTGCAAGTCAAAGGTTTGATCCCCACAGCCTCCACTTTGGGTTCCTGAGCTAAACCCATATCCCCACAGTGCTCACTTGGTGCCACACTATGGCAGCCCGCTGCTCCTCAACGGAATGGGTTAAATGCAACACACTATGTTTACTTTAGGTGTATGAGTAAATTTCCCCATTGTGGGACAATAAAGGGATTTATACATTTACAAGACACAGTTATTGTACCAAGGTCTGATGAAGAGTATTCTCAGAGTTTCCCTTAATGCTCATCATTTTTTGAAAGATTCTTTGAAAATCCATCTTCAGAGGCTCCAGAGTTTCTAAAACAGAAGCAACCTTCTTTTTCAGCTCTTCCAGCTTCTTTATGTCAACTGCTCTTTTGCTGCAACCTCAACAGATAATGGCAGAAGAACTCACACTATACTTGATAGACAGAAGATATGTACCATCTTGCTGCAAGCACTAAGGACCTAAACTTCCTCAAGAAGTACAGTCTGCTCTATCCCTTCCTGTAGACGACTTCATAGTTTTGTCTCCAGTGCAGTCTGCTGTCCAGGTGAAGACAGAGATTTTTAGGACATAGTAGCAGTCTGACGTAGTGTTAGCATTTTTAGTTGTGTTGTTTTTATTGTTCAAAAACTCATGTGGAATATATGGATTAAAAAACAATCTAGTTATACTCAATCTTTAGAAGGCAACGTGAATAGCTGATAAATACAAAGAATTCCCTGTTTTGATGGAAAGAGTAATTGCAATTTCCTGCGTAGCAAGCCAGATTGTATATCTATATTGTATGTCTAAGCCTAAGGACAGCTTGCAGTAAAGCACCCTGCAGTAGCATTAGAACACATATTTTGCCATAGTATCTATCAATAAAAATACTAAAATGATATGGGGCTAACATATTTTTTAGAAGAATATTTGAAATACTTACAATTATGACCCTATAATGTCAATTAATTTGCTACCGAAAGGTGAAATGTTGCTGCTTGAAAGTTTTTGACCAAGAATCTTTTTCTCTTAGCTGAAACATATAGCTCCCTGAGTACCAGCATATTGTACCCCTTTCCCACTGGCCGAAAAACCAGTTTAAACCCAGAAGAATCGGCTTTTAGTGGCAATGGTGACACCTCACAGACATGTGTCTAAGCGGGTCAAAATGACTCGGTATGATCGGCATGCTTTGGCAACACCAGTCGGTTGACCTGCCAAGTTAAGTGACATCATCAAGCGCAATGAATGGACATCAACACACCGAGCCAGCCAGGCCTGATCTATTAAGCCCAAAACAACTTTGTCTACATTTGATAAACATGGAGCAGTGCTAGTAAGAGGGATTCAGACACATTAAAAAGCGAAACAATATAGCACGCCTATTATACCCTGGCTTCCCTAAAAATTGTTCTCCATTGTTTACTTTCCTGTTTGCTGTCATACTGGTGAAATCAATGCTAACCCAGCGTGATGATGTCATTAGACACGCATCGAGAGCCACAGAGGCCACACAGCTTGCGAGCAAGGGGTTAGACCCAGCTTTTGTGCAAATGGCAAGGGAACCAAAGGCCGATTGTTCGTGATTCGACACATGTTTGAAAAATGCGTTAACCCCGTATTTTCAGTAGGAACAAGGCTTTGGTATAACATTGGTTCAGAACTGAAAGGTGTGGTACTTGACTTCCTTCATCATAAAGTAATATATATATATTTTTTTTCAACTAATAAGATCCGTTTCTAACAGTAGATATGTTGCATATTGCAAATTGATGTGAGCACCTTTTCTTTATGAAACTCCCTATTCAAGCACATTACCATAAGGCTGATCTGGGTTTGCCTCAGATGAACCTTGAGAAAATGAAATCCACAAATCCTAGAGCAACAGCTTGGCTTTCAGGTTTCCTTTGGATCACCCTCAATTAGTATAGCCTTTCATTGTGGGTTGTCGTGTAAGAAATGATGGAAACACAGGTTTGGTGGTTTTGTGGAAAATCTTTTTTTTTAGCTGATGAAGTAACATCAAAGAACATCTTGCTGTTCACCACTTAGCAGATAGAGATAAATCCATTCATGCCATAATGTAAACCACAAAGCCATTATAAAACAAATGTATGTAATGTTACTTTTTTCCAGAGGTCACGTGATTAAAGTTCAGTGACTGACCTCTCACTCTCTCTCTGTACAGATTAGTCATGTTATTTTTGTGCTCACACGTGTTGCATGCTTTGCAACAGACTGAACTTGATGGCATTCAACCTCATTTTGGGCCTGTTTACCTTTTACAAACAGTTCTTTTATCTTTATCCATTTGCAGGGTCTGTTAGCAGAAACTTTGTGACAGCATTTCAAAGGTATGTAAAATGCTGATTCAGTTCATGACTCAAGGTACTGTGCAGCAAACATGGCACAAAAAACTTGTTACAACATCCAGTACACTGACGCAGATGTAAGAGAAAGTGTATTTTTAAAGGTTTGTGGAAAAGGCAGCTGTACATAAAACATAGTTTACATTTGCTCTCACAACAAAGCATGACGAGCATTGTTATGAGGTTTTGCAGAAGCAGAAACAAGAGCATTAGCTGAAATGAGATCCACAACCAAAAAAGGGGCGGTGGACACATGTTAGGAAGCAATGTTTTCTCCTCTAGATGGCTTGCAGCCATTCTGCTACTTTTTAACTAAGATCCAAAATATGGCTTTACTAATTTAACCTTTTTTTTTTATCTTTTCACCACAACAGCTAGGACTATGTTGTTGCAATTACCAATACACAGCATGTTGGTGAGGCATGTCGGTGATGGATACCACATCTGTAAGATAAATTAAACCTAGGAAGACCAGAACATGCCCAGGGGCTTTTCTTTCCTTGCAGATAAGTTGTGCAGTATTTTGATTTGAAATCCATACTACAAGCTGCTAGATTCATCATTATTATCACCATTGTCCTTGGTGGTTATTGGCAGTTTGTGAAGCATGGTATTGTAAGCAGACAGATAATAATTAAGAGAAATCAATGTCGCAGGCAAAAAAAAAATCATACAGATCTTGAGGAAAAACAAGATAAGTAAAACAAGGTTTTATGAGCAACAGTTTACCACATTAGTGTTAAACTGATGCAAAGAAGACAAGATGGAGAATAACACTTAATATTTTTAATAACTTTGATTGTGTCAGAAACAGAAAAGTTGTAAAACATTAATAACAGAGCTGCATAAGCTTGTTTTTTCTAACAGTATAAGCAAAACAAAACAAAACAAAACAAAAAAAAACAAGAAAAGCACGCAAAAAACGCAAACAGATGTGTTTACAAGGTCAGGGAATACATCACAAACTCACCCACAGAGGGTCCAGGCCACTCAGTCTGCAAAAGGCATCCATCCACTCTCTGGTTTTTTCCTCCACCGGCGCTCTGCTTGTAGGAGTTGAACAGGCCTCCTCCCCACTCAGCAGACTTTGCTCACACACTCACACGCTCTCTCTCCGCAACAGCACTAGTGTGTCAATATGTGTGTGTATTTGATTTGGGCTAATTCGGTCAATTATTGCACTCTTTTTCTATTATAAGTTACTTTCAGGGGTTAAGCTTCTGTGTTTCTTAGTGTGCTCTTTAGATTTCCTTTAATAAAACATCTTCTATCTGAACTAAGCACTTTTTCTCCCTGCCACCCTGACTGTAACTGCTGCTGACCTGAGATCCGGTGTCTTTCTGACTCCCAGTCAGCCTGAATGCCGTTTATGAGTGAGTCTCCTTGCTGGGTGGGTGGAAATATTTCTCTCTCTCTCTCTCTCTCTCTCTTTCTTACTCACTCACTCACTTACTTACTCACACCCCTCTTTTCTGGATTTTGATCAAAACACCACTTCCCTCAATGGGATGACAGTCCCACACCCAGACACACTCCTCCCGGGTTCACTCTCTGCCCCCTACCTCCTTTCTCGCTCCTTCTCCTGCCCACTCTTCCCTCATCCCAAACAGACCAGTTGTCTGGCCACAAAGCGTCTGGTTTTGCACAGAAATACCTTTTAAACTAAGACGAGACACACTCCAATAAACGCCATGCTTATAGGATTTGCTTTTTATATAAATCCAAGATAATGGCAAGTAAAGACTGTTTTCCTGTTTTAGATTTATAACACACTGTTTCAGTTTTCAAGGTCAAATGTAAAACATATTTTTCCTCTTCCTTTACACTAACAGAAAATAAAATATTATAGTGCTTTAGAAAAGTAATACATGTCTTTGATTTTTCAAAATTCTGTCATATTGCAAAGAGGGATTGCAAAGTATTTCAATGAGAATTTATCTTATAGATAGAACTAATAAACCACCTGTAATGAAATATACATCATTCTTTGCTTTTATCAATGCATCCTAAAAAGCCCTTATAGTAGCAGTATATAAAACTAATAAGCTTACTTTTTTAAATGCTTAAGGCTAATTACATTTATGTTTCAGAAAGTAAGACTTAATAAGCTGATGTTTTAAAATGTCCTTGCTCTACTAGGACTGAGAAGTTTTTTAGCAATGAAGAAAAATCTCCAGTTGCCAGAAGTGCAAAACTGTTAGAGAAATACCCCAAAGACACGCAGTCAAAGGGGGATTTTGAAAAGTATAAACTTTTTTATTTTATTTTATTTAACCTTTATTTAACCAGGAAGAACCACTTTTTCAAGAGTGTCCTGGCCAAGAAGCAGCAAAGTTACATAAGAAACAGAGATACATTAAATAAAATGACAGGGACATAAAAAAAACATATCAAGTAAATCACTTACAGATCATCGAGCCTGCTTCAAATTCTTTCACTTTTAACTTAAAAGCATTTAAAGATAAAAACTCAGTCAACTTGCAGTTTCTTTGTAAAAAAAATTCCACGCACAAAGAGCTGCGTAGCTAAAGGCTTTCTTCCCTAGCTCTGTACGGGCAAAAGGAACAGTGAGCAACAGCTGATTGTTGGATCTCAGGGCATAAGAAGCCATGCTTTTCTGTGCAAGTAACTTAAACTTCATGTCTTAATATTTCCCTTTTACAATTTTCTTTTCATTGTACTTGTTTTAGAATAGACTACTTCGGTTTGTGCTTTAAAATAAAATGTCAATAAATACTTGGTCTGGGTTGTGTTGTGACACAAGTGAGTTTAGGAAGCCTAACATAGACTGAATGCTTTGTTATTTCTAAGAAAATATTAGTCTTCAATAAGAAAAAAGGTTTACAGTAATATTCAGTAGGTTAGTCTTTGGGTTTAAAATTGCCCTTTTCTTTAAATAATGACCCTAAAGAGGTGATAAAAAAATACTTTTTATAAAGCAAATATTTCTGTATAACAACATTTTTTTTGTTCTGATGAAATATTTCTAATTATTGTTGTCATAGGATGTAAGTGGGAAATCATAATTATCAGGAATAATGCCTTGAAAGCATTAGTCTTTGTAGCTAATATATAATGTTTATGTTAGGAATTGAGTTACAGACAAATCCACTTTTTAATTACAGTATAGTTCATTAAATAGGTCTCTGCTAGGTCAACATATAAGAATAATTTATTATTAGATAAATGTGTTTATACCTTTTTTTGGAGTGGCAGATGTTGAGTCTTCCCTGTGATGCAAACCATCACATGCATTTCCAGGTATTACATAACTTGCTGATACAGCAGGATATAGACTAAAATTGGTTAAATAGTCATCCAGTTGCACTCCAAGTGGAAAAAGTGAAGTCAGTCCACGGCTTTCTGTGAAGATATTTTGTCCAATTAAAGAATACATTTTAGAGCATATTCCAGCTTATTTTTGGAAAATCTGGGAACCATGAATGATAGGGCCACACATAATATAATTACTGCCTGGAAAATTATTGAACAACTTTGTCGTTCAACAAAAAACAACCAAAACAAAAGAACATTAAAATCACCTCCTTTAATTATGGTTTTATGTATTGTATAAAAGAAGAAAACATATGTGAGTGTCTTCAAAGCTCTTTGTTGTCTGCAGAAATATATCGTCACATGGTGTGAGGCAGGTCAATCCTGTCAGGGGTTGGGGAAAAAACTTTAGCTGGGCAGGAAAATATGACAGTGTTTGGACTGGTACCGACAGCAGCATCATCATCACCGCAGAGAAGAAACATGGAAAGTTCGGCGAGGAGGCAGACCACCGTCAGGGCCTGGTGTCTAGCCATGTGCAAATATGAGAATATTATTCTTCAAAAAAATGACTCATCACTTTATGTTTTTGCTCCAGCCTTATTTCTGCTATTCAGCTGTGCTCCTGCAGCAAAAGGAAGTAGGTTATGCAACAGAAACCAGGATTTTGATCTGATTTCATGCTTTTATTACAGGCAACATTTTAAAGTAAATGTAATGAGGGATCAAGTGATGTTCTGTGAGAGCAATACAAATCTAGGTTTTAGCTGTGTCTACATGGCTTGTGCCAATCTCCAACCTGAACTTCACGAGCCTTTTGATTAAAAATGTATTTCTTCTTGCCACTCTTACATAAATGTCTGACTTGTGAAATGCACAACTTAAACTGTTCCCCTTGTTTGGTTACTCAGTTTTTTTTTCAGCAGCTCTCCCACATTTGCTGTTGAGATGCAGAACATTGCTGTGTGCTAACTAACTCTGTTCAGAAAATCTTTAAGACCTTCGAAGGATTGCTGTCATCAGTGTGGGACTCTCTTGACTAATTAAGTGGCTCTTTATCTAGAGTAAAAAACCAAGTGGTACTTTAACACCTACAAAGTTGAATATAAGTAGTCTGTCTCAGATAACATTTGGTTCCACTCCAAAGTAGTGTAAAATTTACTCTATAGCCAGTGTCAACCTGTGCAGAGTTAATTTTACTCATTTTAATGTCAAAATCCAGAATACCTCTCAGAGACTGGCAGGTAATCAACACCATATAGAGTAAAGGTTACACTGAATGGCTGTCAAATTTTTCATTGACTTATAACTTCAACACTTGAGCAGATTTACACTCAGTATAGTTGTAAAATAATCTATTTAGAGTTTAAAAAAAAAGGTTGATTCTGAATTTTAACACCAAATTTTTCACCGACTAGTATGATTATTATTTAGATTCCTATAAGTAAAACATTTTCAAAGACATGCATCCTTGTCCTGCATATGCTGTATTTGTTGCTGGTACATCACAAAAAATATACTGTAAATAAAGGGAATACTGTATTTAACCTCTTGGACACTAGGCCTGTTTTCGAGAAATATGCTTGAAAATAACATGCCCAAAATGAATTGAATATATCTCAAGAACTCAACAGTTTATTTTAATTGTTTTGGTATCGAAATAAAGGCAAGACCACAGAGAATATGTTACAGGTCTAAAAACCATCTTGGGGCGAGTGCGGTCCTCATGTTATGAAAAGGATAAAGGTGATGAAGGGTAAGTTATTTGATTTAGGTACTCTAAATAATAAAAGTAGATTTTGCTAACCTGTGGGGGTTAAGATAGAAGAATGCATTACTGCAACAACATCTTTGAGAGGAATCAAAACAACTAAGACACGACCAGTCTGACCATCTATTATTAAATCTGGATTAGTGGTTCAGTTACAGAGAAATGGTCTGAAACACCACAGCCACTGAGCTGTGAGTGGTGTACTTCTGTGAATATAGCACAACATGAAAAGTTTACAGTGCACTGCTCTGAATCCCATAAATTCAGTGGTTCAGTAGCTGAGAGGTAAAGTGTGGTTTCTTTATTTTTTTTTTATATGTTTTTGTTTTCTCATCAGCTCTGACCAGGTGATATTAAAGGGCTCTGAAAAGTTTTCACCCTATCATGGTAACACAGTCTACCCTGTGGTCGGTTTCTAAATGCTGCCTATAAAGGCTTGTTAGTAAAAATGTACACATATATTTTATGGGCTTCCTGACTGGAGACGGACTAATTCCTTCCCTGTTGGGTTCAGAGAAAGAAAAAGAAAATTTAAAGACTACGAGCTAAGACTCCTCAGCTGATCGTTCCCAGATATGAGCTTGAGGTTGGAGGTGGAGCAATTCGTGGAAAAGAAAGTAGCACAAAAACAGCCCACATGCACTATTGTGCATGTGCAGTGACAATCAAGAAGTGTGCAAGCTGCAAGCAGGAGCACAAACATAACCATGTGCAGAAAATGGCATGTATAGTGTACCTAAAGGGGCTTTGTTACACCCGGTGGCGAGACGGCCCGACTGTTTTCACCAGGGTAGAAAAGAGAAGGCACATAGCGTGGACTTAAAAGGGAGACTGGCGCTGGAGCGAGCCCACATGCGGTCATGGCGTGTAGTAGTAGTAATGTGGACCTGGCAAGCGGTGGATAGATGCAAGAAGGCGTGCTGAGAGGGTGCCAGTGCCCCAGCCAGGCCATGACTGCGTGGTGGTTAACCAGTCTAGGTCACCTACACTTCCTTTGGCCTCCCTCTCTCTGGGAGGAAAAACAGTCTAGTCAAAATAATGGTGTCATTAAGGCCTCTTACGTTTGAGCAAGACGGACCGGGGGGGTGGGAGAGACAAATTTAGAAGAAGCAAAGCAAAGGGAGGGGCCAGAGACAAGCCAGCAAAATATCTCTGTTTTTTTCCTCTTCTCACAGCTCTTAAATTAGCAGCCTTAAATGAGTGGCACAGTGCAAGTGCAGCCTGTAAATTCAGATGTGTCAGCCTACGCAAGCAATTATAACCGCTTCTTCCGTTCCCCCCCCCCACCCCCCCAACATGCCGTGCACATCCTAATCTGTAATAACCTTTTCAGCCTGGTTGATCTTTGACAGGGACTTTTCACTTCCTGTTTTCCAGTTT